TAAATTCAAGGATTTCAAGTTGGTGGTCCCCAAAAAGCTTTGTCTCTCTGTACAAATACCCTAATGCAGTCCCCTCATAAATCTGGGCTGAGCCAGGTAACTTGATTTGAGCAATAAATCTGGCAAAAGTAAGGCTGGGCCAGTTCTGACCTAAACCTTAAAAGGGCCTCGTAGCTTTTGCTTTTATGCTCCTGGGAATCCTTGAACTGCCATGTCTTACAGGAGAAACAGCATGAAAAGACCAGGTAGAGTGGCCAAAAAGCAGAGGGAAAGGCCCTGAACCTGCATGGAAAAAGAAGGAAGCTTATCCAGCCCAGCCCCCAGCTCACACTCCCACTGAATACAGCATACCCGTGACTACCAGCAAGAGCCACAGAAAAACCAGAGTGAAGCCAAGCATAGTTGACAGAACTGTGAAAAAACAAAACAGTTGTTGTTTAAACTACTAAGATTTAGGGAGGTTATGCAATAACAGGTGAAAAAAAAAACGACCCCAAGAATTTTGGCCTGCGCACCCAGAAGGATGGAGTTTACCATCAACTAGATGGAAAAGGATGTTAGTTAATAGGTTTGGGGAAAAAACTTGGGTGGACAGATTAATATCTTACTACTTAGAAAAAGAATACAGTTTTCTTAATATTTTAGAAGAACAAGATCATCTATCTTTTAAGCACTGCTGGATTTTCCAGGACCAGGAAAGGCCATTTGAGGTGCAACTTTTTGGACCTCCAAAAAACAGACACAGCAACGATTAAAGGAATTGTTTAGATTTTTTTTTTTTTTGTCCAGGTTCTGAAGCTCTGCCAACAATCAGTGTAATCCCCATCAAGGCAGGGAAACCTCACCCAGTTTTTCCAGCTTTGCTACTGTGGTTTCAGGGCTTTGGTGACTCTACCATGTAAAGGAGAAACCACTGGGTAGTTTTCCCTCCCCCTTTCCACAACTGGTCACAAAGAACCATCTTGGGCTTGGCTGACGGGCTTCTTGGGGCTGAAGGCACAGCCTCGGAGGGAGGCCCCTGCCAGTTTTAGATGTAATCCTTCCTGTGGTCATAAACTTTAGAGACAGCAGTATGTGGGCAAAGAAAATTGCCTGGTCAATTTGGTCAGCCTGTAGGTCTCTGATGATAGGCATCTGGGCTATTACCGTGTAAGCTTGAACCCAAATGAAGTGCTAGGGAAAAGCAGTACGTTCCTTAAGAGTTCTTAATGCCCCAGAGCAAATATTAATGTGGAAGGGTTACTTTTACACTGTCAACCTCCCACTCACTCACTCCCACCCATATAGCCTACTATGTCTACCCACTCACATCTCCTTCTTAATTAGGATTTGGGAAAGTTTTAGGATATAGCTAAACTAAAACAAATTAATCATATTCCTGGGGGCTCATTTCTTCTGGGCTCAACCTTTTCTTGGACTAGTGTTTCTGGGAGGAAAGGGTAGCTTCCACCCATAAGCTCCTCTTGGTCCTCCACACCGCGACTAACCACTGGAAGCTGAAGTTGGATAGGAGACTGGACTTCATGTCACAAAGGGACTCACAAAATTGAGCAATTGTAGGGTGTGTGCCAGAAGAAAAGTTGATGTGCTTGACTTAATAAACGTTTTAAGAAAAATGTTGAGAGGCATTTAAAAGAATTTAACCATAAAATTATGCCAAGGATATATAAGTTTGAGAGATAGCATTCTGAGAGTGGGCGCCATATAAGGTGATCCAACATGGTCATCATGGAGATGTGGGACATGGGGACACTATCACTGTTTTGGTCTCTTCAAATCTCTTCAGGTCATTACACACTTTTGGCTATGGTTTCTTCCAAGTACCATTAGCATGACTCCAGATTCTTTCCCTTACAGAGTCCCTCAATCCTTGGTGGATTATGACTCTTCAGCTCGTTTATTCTGCACCTCCTTAAAAGTATGCACCTTCTCTCCAGCTATCCAGTGCCTGTCATTACTGACTACACTGTGAAATTCCCTTCCACTTTTGTGGCACATCCAGCCTTATGGCTTGCAGAATGTTCAGTCAGACATTATGGATGAAGATGGGTCATGAGGAGCACAAGGCAGAGAGAGACCCCAGTGCAGTACATGAGCAGACTCCTGAGTTTACCCTCTCAGCAGAAGAGGGTATAAAGGTGCATCAACGCCTCTTGGCCAAGAAGAAGGGAATGTTTCTTACTTTCGCTAAGAAGCAACCCTAAGACAAGGTGGCAAGTGCAAGTAGTTCATCTGGGAGATGACCCCAGGATACACAAATAGGGGAGCTAAGAAGGATACAGGAAAGGGAAGAAGGCCAACATGGGTGTATTAATAAGTCAACTACCAAAGGAGGGCAACTGAAGCTTAACTCCTCTGGGAAATCTCTCACAAACTGTGTGGAACACGTACCCCAGACTTACACCACCCAAGAGGCAAGGGAGTTAGTATATTTATACAACAAATTCTGTTCATCACTTGTTGAGAGTTGCTTCTGGGGCCCACTGTTTCCTGGGCATTTCTGGCCTGCCGCGTGCAGGGACAGTGCAGCTTTCTATGGTTCCAGAACAAGCTCTCAGGCACAGAGGTGCAGATGCTAGCCTCTGAATGTTGTCTGGGGCACAGGAAGATCGATGGGCAACAGCAGTGGTCTGTGCTGGGACCTCTGCTCAAGCTGCCTTTCAGACCTTGCCACACTGCTTGTTGTGTGGATTTGGGGCTTGAGGAAGTAGACACTGACTGTACTCAGTACTGGAGATGGATTCCTACAGATGCCTTAGGATAGGATATACATACTGAACAGCACTAGCCGAACCAATAATAAATGAAGTCATTTGTATAGGTCTGGACATTTTTCTACATATCCTTAAGTGAAAACAGCAGGTTATATAAAACCATTTTGGTGTTAAAACCATAGAAAGCTTATGCATTAAAAAGTCTACAAGGATATAAGACAAAGTGTTGTTAATGGTTGTCTCTAGGGAAGTGGGGTTATGAGTTAATTTTGTTGTTATTTATTGTTCTCCTTATTGATTTTCTGATTTTTTTTTGTAATGAGCATGAATTGTTTTTGTAATAACAATGATCAGGTTTTTTAAATTACACAATAATTTAATACAATCTCAAGATTCAGGAATAATTTCAGGACTTTTCTAAATGTTCCTTTCTTCACCATCTCTTTTCCTCCCTCCCCAATCTGGCCCAGTGCTTCAAAACAGAATGACCTTGCTTATTTGCAAGTGACTGCAATGTACTGTCACCACTGTCAAACATGGGGCAAAGAGGGCAGTTAGGCAAAAAAGACTTTTGAGCAGCCAAGAGAGAGGTCTCAGTAGCCATAAGCCAAAACTCATCCACTTTGCTCAGACAAGTGCCATAGACTAGCATTTAGGACTTAATCATACACACTTTGTACACAATTCTAACCAACATTGCCATCAGACTTCAGCTTCATGCTTCAAAGCAGCAGTGAAAAGAGGAGGAAGGGCCTGCCCCCGTCAGACACACAGGAGGCATGGAGAAGAGGCAGAGCTGATAAGCGAGGAGAGGTCCAAACAAGGCCTTCACGCCTCAGGACCCGGCCTGGGTGCTCCCACTTTTAAGGTAGAGCACAAGCCCTCCATCTCCTTGCCACTTTCAGAAGTGTCCCATTTCCAAACCCAGAACAAGATCAAGTGATAGCCTTGAGGAGTCGAGGCCAGGCTTACTTATACTCAAGAGAACCAAGCATCCAATGATTGGGGCTTAAAAAGAACCTGAATACAGGCATACAGTAAAGATCATCCATGTGAAAATACTGCTTCGGAATTCGGTGACAGGAGCCAGACTAGGGAATGAGGTTACTTTCTTATCTGTTTCTTCCGACCCTTTCTACTTTTGTGTGAAATGAGGTCGATCATCCTCTGGTTCCAGGATCTGCTCTTTAACATCTGATCTTATCGCTAAGGAACTTATACTACCCATTACCATTTTGCCTCCATGATTCTGAGTATCACTTTTTGGGCCTCCTGGTTTGACAATATTCCTAAAATTAAAAAAAAAATAGAAATTGTAGAATAAAGCCTTAACAAGCTGTTCTTGGAGGGACTGAGCTCTTTTATACTGACCAGTTTTTAAACTCTTCATAAAAGGGGTCTTTAACAAGCCCAAACTTTTTAAATATGAGTAGAATAAAGTCAAAATAAGATGAAAAGAAATGGCATTCCTGGTGAAATAGGTCAGATGATTTTCAGACTCCAAAGTGTCCTGATAGTTTTACGTGATCCAGTCCAGCTCCTCAAAAAACTCTGCCAACAGGTAACAGGTTTTTGAAAGCTTTTGAAGCCAAAGGCTCCCCACCAGCCAGCCCATCGCTTACTAAGTTCTCAGCCTCATTAAGAATGAGAAACAGATACCACGGCACCAACCTGTCTACGAGAACACAGCGAGACAAATGTAATTGCCTGTACAAGGCATATAAATCAGCAACTCCCAAATCATTCATATTTACACCCACTCCATTTTGGTTGTCTTTCCTTTATAATTTGGCCATACATCGATGTCAAGTGTATAATTTCATCTGGGGCTTTATCAGTTACCACCCAGAGCCATGATTATATGGTGCAGGGAACTTCCTCTCCCTGAGCGAGTCTATCTTTAGTATCTCCTTGATAGCCACTTCTTACTCATAAAATCAAAAGAAGTCTTGGTTTCCTAATGTGGCTCCAGAATCACTAAATATAACATTTAGAAGCAATTTATCAACTGAAACCCTTGGGTTTTCAGTTGCCACTACAATTTTTGAAAGCAAAGTGTTCTTATTCCTTCTGTTTGTTATTTTTTTTATCAACTTGCATTTGAAATTTTAGGGATTTTGATACTGACCATCCAATTATAAACGAAGGTCAACTTTCATCTTGTTAGTGTCAAGCCTAACTGCACAAAGACAGGTTTTGAACTAGCAGAGTCAGAGGAAAAAAGAAAGGTATGATTTCTGGAAGAAGTAACATTTTACAAACAAAATAAAAAATGGTTCTCCAATCTAGGGTTCAAAAGATAATTTATTAATCTGAGAAGAGGAGTCACACACTATACCCAGTAATATGCTTCTTTTATTTTTGGGCCTTTTTCTTAAAAATATATTTAAACAAGAAACAAAGATAATATTGAATTTTCCCATAAATTTTGATTTCTTATTTACAGTGTTACATTGTAAATAACATTCCATTATACACAAATTAAGGACTGTGCATTACTGTATGTTCTCTTTACATATTCTCTCATAATATAGTACATATAGCTTGAAGATATGCAGTATTTAAGCTTAGAAAAGCTTGAGGAAAGAAGTACAAACTTTATCAATAAGACTATTATTTAAAAAGGTTCTGACCTTAATTCTCTGCTAGATTGTTTCACTGAAACCATTCTTTGTTAAAGAAAAAATGCCCCATATGAGGGATGAGAATAACAGTTTAAGTTACCACAGGATCCACTTAAACTGGTTAACAAATAAAAACACTTTATCACTTATTACTGTTATTAAATGGAGCACTACCACTGTCAAATCATTTAAACAAGTAGATTGACTCTTCAGTTCAGACACATACATCAACGACAGCTGGTACCTCTTTATGAAATCAAAAATGTTTCCTGCATCTTTAGGTTTTACTTGTAAACAGTAAAGCACACATTCTGTAAAGATGATTTAATCATTCCTGGTCTTAGGTTACACAATAAGGAGTTTCTATTTCATCAAGGGGGAAGCAAGCCCACACACTGCACGCACACACACACACACACACACACACACACACACACTGCACACATTCAGTCCCGCTCACCCGCCGAAGACCTGCATGTCACTGAGCACTAACTACAGCCACGCTAGTGTCGCAAGCGGTGCACGAGACTGCAATAGGAATTATAAAACGGTGAAGATAAAACATCCAGCTTCAGTTAAAAACCCCGAAAAGCTCAGGTTCTGAAATGCCTCTCAGACGCTTCATGCTCAGCCTGAAGGGTCAGTTCACTGGGCTCTCCAGGCGGCAAACCCCACCTTCGATTGCCACGGACTGTCCTGCCACTGCACCAGGAGGGAGTCTTGAAATGTGAGTCTGCAGAGAGGGAGACAGGAGAGCGTTAGAAGTGCCAGCTGTGTCCTCCCGTGTGCCTAGGGTGGAATAAATGCCAGAATGACACAGCCTCTCTTTGCTTCTCAGCATCTACGTGGTAGCAACCTTTAAGTGCAGAGAGATCCTCTTTGTTCCAATCTTGCAGGGAATGTTTACTGAGCATCTATGACATGCTAAGCACAGCCCTAGCACCTTGAAGTATAGACGAACAAGACAGCAAAGGGCCCCTCAAGGGCCCTCTCAAGCACAGAACTTACAATTTAGTCCTATTCAGAATAGTAATTAACGGTGTTAATGCCAACTATATTGAGCATATTCTAGTTCTCTGAAAACCAGTCATTTATATACATTCTGTCTTCTAAACATCCAAAGCAACTAAGAATAATGGATTCATGTTTACATTTTATTCTCTAAGGGAGTTGAATAGCTTGCAAAAGTTCAGATAATTAAACAACCAAAATCGTAAGTGAGGCAATGAGAAAAAAGAAAAATAAGAGCTTACAAAATAAGGAAAGGACAGGCGTGAGATTAACACGCAAAATCTAGCCTGAGTTTTGTACCCATGCTAGAGGCATGGTCCTGCCTCGTTTCTCAGCTTCTTCATTCCATGACCACAGAGGGGGGTTCGTGTGTGGCCAGGAGCACAACAAACCAATTGCTCAGAAGGGAACCACTATTCCTGGTACAAGGCCTAGGAACTACTTCTCATACAGGGCTTCAATACACAGTAGGTTCCTCGTTTAGTGGATGAGTGAAGACATCAGCTGCACAACAAGGAGTTTTGTAGGGCCGAGGGTTAACTTTACTCAAGGGAGGCTGGCCTGATGGAAAACAGTAAAAGCTGTTCCATAAGAGGGTCAGGATGACGTCAGCCAGGAATTCCTTTTTTTGATGATCTGGCTTAATCTGGGGAAAGATAAATGTCGGGAGCTTCTAAGAAGAACAGAAGGACTGTATATCCCTTAGGTAATCCTCTCTAATTCTGCTACTCTAAACAAGTTTTTCCTAAGGACTGAATAGAAGTGGGTTCAAGCCCCAGGTGAGACTGTTAGATGTGGCTAGTGAAGTGGCCAAGCCTAGAGTGAGAATGACATCCTCTCATGCAACCAAATATGAAACAGCCTATGTTTTGGATGGAATGACAGCTAATTGGTTTGTAGTTTGAGGGTGGACAGTATTCTTGAATCTCACTATATGAGTCCTATTAGAGTAGCTGATATAAGTCAATAATTTGGAAAGTTCTAGAGAACAGGAAGTGTTCTCTGGGCACTATGTTCTTCTGTGTGCCAGGCAGGAAGCACCCGATAACCCACAAGGGTGAAGTCTGTTGCCTCAGGTCAAGAGCTGGGTGAGGCAGTCTCTGTGGGATCTCCTGGAATACAGCTACAAGTGAGTTTAGCTCACTAAGTTCATGCTTCTGGGAACTGTGTCCCAGGATCTGGCCTCATTATTACATCAGAGGGTCAAACTTGGATCTCACCATATGGATATATTGTACCCGAGAAGTCCAAAGTAGGAAAACTTGTGGCTCTTTGGTTTCTTGCGATGCCTCATTAACCTAGCAGGAGTTAGAACAGGGTGTGTGGTTTAATTCTGCTACCCAGGAGTGTTTGTCACATCAGGCACAAAAATCTCAATTCTCACAATTCCCAGGGTTCAATTGTGATGGAGCTGCTTTTATTCTTCCAGGAATTTCTTATCATGAGATGAAAGAGATTTTTTTCCCCAAGTATCATTCATCTTTTGTTTTGTTTTGTTTTTTAAGATTCTTCTAAACAGAAAAGATCCCTGAGAGCATAGAAGCCTTTTAGTCAATTGTATCCTGATCTCACCCTCTTCAGTCATGAATACAGTCATGCAGCTATGACAGGGATCAAGAAGAAGCAGAACCTCTTTGGAAAACAGTAGGTGGGTTCCTCAAAAAATTAAACATGAAATTACTATATGATCCAACAATTCCACTTATGGATAATACTCCAAACAAGTAAAAGCAGGGACACAATAGCCATAAGGTGGAAACAACCCGAGAGCTCATAAACAAAATGTGACATATATTATACACATAGAATGGAATATTATTCAGCCCTAAGAAGGAAACTCTGACACATCCTACAACATGGATGAACTTTGAAGACATTATGTTACGTGAAATAAGCCAGATACAAAGGAACAAATGTTGTAGGATTTAACTTATATGTGATATCTATTAGTCAAGTTCATAGAGACAGAAAATAGGATGGTAGTTACCAGGGATGGGGGGAGGAGGAATAGGGAGTCACTGTTTAACGGGTATAAAGTTTCAGTTTGAGAAGATGAAAAGTTCTGGAGATGAATAATGGTGATGGTTATACAACAACATGAAGGTACTAAATGCTACTGAACTGTGCATTCAAAAATGGCTAAAATGGCTGCCTCTCTCTCTCTCTCTGTGTGTGTGTTTCTCATGAATAAATAAAATCTTTTTAAAAAAATGGCTAAAGTGGTAAACTGCCATGTATATTCTGCCATAATAACAATAAAGAAAAGAACAAAGCAGAAATGACAACTTCCTACCTGGTTTAGAATAGTACTCCGCATGACAGCATTAAGAAAAGGGGCTAGCTAAGAGTGAATCTACAATGCAGACCCCCATAGAAGAAACACTAACACCACCAGGTTCTGTTCACAAATAGGTTGGAAATCTCAAATCAAGTTTGTTAAAATATCCATCCCTAAGAGAGAAGCTCACAGGAAAATCTGTCTTCATGTTTCCCAGAGATTCAGAGAGAATCCAGTGGGACCTGCTGGCAGGCCTAGTGGTCTAGGTATGAGAATAAATTAATTGTTTAAAGATCAAAGAGTGAACATATGTCCAAGCCGATGGCCTGCAACTTGACCAGGGGGATGTTGGTCTTAAAGCAAGTGATTTCCTGCTGACCAAGGAAAAGACCAGAGCTAGAAGGAAGAAATTCTTGCCCCACAAATCGGGGGCTTGATAGCAATCCCTTGAGATTTACAAAAACACAGATGGCCAATTCAAACTTATCTCTGACATTCTCGCCCCCTTTACGATAGAAGGCCATCTAAATAAACTAAGCTAAACTACAAAGCCTCAAGGAGAGTTAGGAAGGAAAAGAAAAAGGATTAGAAAACATGATCGTGGGCTTGAGATAGCTGTTAACAGTACATGGGCAAAATACTTCAAGAACACACTGAGATTTGTATAAATTTTGCTGTTTACAAAGGCAAAAATGCTCAACTAGGCCAACTAGTTTAGATTAATTTCTCAGGATTGCCCCTTCTCCAAATCATCATCTAGTCAAGAGGGATTCTACAGTTACAAAACACATTGGTGTGATCTTGGTGTTGAGAGTAATAAAATGGTTAACCATCCATCTGTGTAACAGTACTTGCCCAGTTTCATCCATCAACATGATCTTCTGACTCATCACAAAATAAGTGCCCTTGCTCTGAAAACATTTGAGCCAGGATGTATTTGAAGCTTTCTGTGGAAATTTCAATGGAGCATCAAATCACATTATAAACAGTGAGAGTTGTTTAAGAAAATGTTTTATATGAGTGTTCATCTCAAAAAGTTCTTTTAGAGAAGTGGGTTTGAATTCCTCTTGTGGCTAAAGAGACCATTTTCTACAATGAACTTATATGTTAGCATTTAAAAGTACAATAAGGTGGGGATCCCTGGGTGGCTCAGCGGTTTGGCGCCTGCCTTTGGCCAAGGGTGCGATCCTGGAGTCCCGGGATCGAATCCCACGTCAGGCTCCCGGCATGGAGCCTGCTTCTCCCTCTGCCTGTGTCTCTGCCTCTCTCTATGTCTATCATAAATAAATGAATAAAATCTTTAAAAAAATAAAAAATATAAGTACAATAAAGTATTTTACATTGTTTAAGGACTGTGTTGACTCTCAGGCACCCTATGAGCATTAAGAACTTAACAAGGTAACTTTAAAAAGAAAAAAAAAAAAAGAACTTAACAAGGTGTCATTAAACCATTTAAACACCAATGTACTTTTATTAAAATTTAGAACTAATGATAAGAAGCACATAAAAAAGCAGCAGACAGGTTCATTTTAGGTTGTTTTCCTTCACTTTTTGTTGCATGTTCCACTCACACTCCTCTCTAACCATGATTCCATGTCTCTAATGCCCTTTTCTGGTTCTTTCTCAAGTAAAGACTTCCTTGACTGGATCCCCGACTCAATCTAGAAGCTCTTCTTCTAACTCTTAAGGCACACATCTGAGCATTTCTTGTCCTTTTTATGGAATCGTCTTGGTTTTTGTCTGCTTTGAATTTTTAGGCCTCTGTAATTAAAAGTCAATTGGAGGCAGGAGCTGGTCTTGCATACACCTCTGTGTTCCTTGTACCTGTCAAAGTGCTTGACCCAGAAGGCACACTCTGGAAATGCTCACTGAGTGAAGTGACTAAAATACACCTCAAGGCCTATCCTTATGAATACACAAAGAATCTCAAGTGTATCAACTAGTATGACCAGTTTGATTAAAAAGTTAATCAAACTAGTTTGTCATGCATGAACAGAAATCTCACAGAGGAAGACATAGACATAGCCAACAAGCACATGAGAAAATTCTCCGCATCATTGGCCATCAGGGTAATACAAATCAAAACCACAATGAGATACCACCTCACACTAGTGAGAATGGGGAAAATTAACAAGGCAGGAAACCACAAATGTTGGAGAGGATGTGGAGAAAGGGGAACCCTCTTGCACTGTTGGTGGGAATGTGAACTGGTGCAGCCACTCTGGAAAACTGCGTGGAGGTTCCTCAAAAAGTTAAAAATAGATCTGCCCTATGACTCAGCAATTGCACTGCTGGGGATTTACCCCAAAGATACAGATGCAATGAAACGCTGGGACACCTGCACCCCGATGTTTCTAGCATCAATGTCCACAATAGCCAAACTGTGGAAGGAGCCTCGGTGTCCATCGAAAGATGAATGGATAAAGAAGCTGTGGTCTATGTAT